CTGTTCATGCACACGGGCTGACAAGGGGGCAGGGGTGGTGCGTGCAGGCGCACGCGCTGAGGTGGTGGCGGGGCGCGTGGGGAGGCGAGGTGGGCACACAAGGCAGTGGCTTACTCGCTTGGAGATCATTTTCTCTGAGCGAGCAAACTGCTTCCTCCGGTGTGTGTGGCAAAGTGGGTGGCGGCATGCACGGTGTGTCCAAACAGGCATGGCGGGCTGGATCTGGCCCCTGGGCTGTAGTTTGTGGACCCATGCTATAGACTAATAAAGGAAGCCTGCTTCACTTTGGGATCCAGCTGAACTGAATCAAAACAGTCTGTTCAGTCTTAGGGAGACTTTGCCTGACTCTGATGTACATCCCTACTTTTCTATATTACACAATGCCAAGAGTAGGTATTGTGGTACTTGTAGATGCCAGTGTTCCCCCATTTGCCTTTCTTGGTACCCACAAAGCTATGCTCCTCCTCCTCTTTATTTCATTAATTCATTACATTTGTTTGTTGCCCCATAGCCCATAGGGCTCTCTGGGCAGCTTACAATAGAACAAAAAATACACATTCCATAAAAATACAATAAGATATTAGAGCAATACAATCAGGCAATACAATATTTAACTGTAAGCGATACAAAATTGAAACAAAACTTAATACAATAATACAGCACATAATGCAATACATAATACAATATAATACATAATACAATGAGTAATATCAGTAAGATATAGCTATAATCCCCACCCCACAGACAAAGTTCAATTACCCATCTGTTCAGTTAAATACCTTTTTTTTAAAGATATTTATATTTTCCTAACTGTGCTGAGGATTGTTTCAAAGGAAAAAGGTGCTTTACTTTAGTTGCTGCCATGTTAGTTTCTCATGAATGCTCATGGACTGCATATGGGGCTCCAACATTTGTGGAAGATGAAAAGACTGCAAGCAGCTGCACTTTCCTATGCAGTGGGACAAGCCAAACAAAAGTGTGGTGAAGGGACCTTTCTCCCTGATACCGAGTCAACTCAGTGGAGGAGAGTGTCATGGAGAGTAGTCTGGGATGAGAGAGAAGAGAGATGGGTGAAAGTGTTGACTAGCAGAGGGTGGCAGAGAAAACTATGGTGTTTGGTGAAGGAAGTTTCTGTAGATAGTAGACTGGTTTCAAAGGAGTTATTTAGTGTGTTGAAGCTCGGATTCCTTCTCCATCCATTACATGGTCTTTTAGGCAGGTTGCTTGTTCTTTATGTTCTTTATGTCTAGCCACATTCATCATGGCAGCTGTTGAATTGGGGGGGGGGGTTCTTTTTTTCTTGCATTTCCAAATGACTCCGTGAACCCTTGGCTTTATACATATGGATCTATTTAAGCCTAGCAAGGTTATAGCAAACGGATCAAGAAGGCTATGAAAGATGCGGGAATAAATAATTGTACTTATGGAGAATTGGGGCAAAGAAAGGCCAAGATCCCAGGAACAACATTTTTAAACAGAGTCAGAGAATGTGCTTACAGGTATAATGTAGCTGAGTTGTAACATGGCAATGAATTTGGATCTACCTTGTTTTGCATTTTCTGAAACAAAATCAGGAAGCATGTTATATTCTCTCCTCATATTTAAATGCTTCCTTTAGCAAGAATCAGATACTGTCAATACTAGTTCTCATTTTTAGGTAAAATAAAGGAGGTATCTTAGGTGGCAGATTTTAGACCTAATTAAAAGCAAGTAAAATTGTCAGTTCAGTTTATTGCTAAATTGGTTGGAGAGATGTTGGATTTTTCACCTCAGGAACTGAATGTTTTGCAGTCCTCTTTTGTATTACTAAGTAGCTGCTACTTTTAGCTATAGTATGTTTGCTGCTAGGCATCCTTTGGGACAACATTGAACAGCACATTTTTAACTAGTTAGGTCAAAATTAAATTGAATTAAAAAGAACAGATGTAGTTTGACAGCTTGAAGTTCTTCTCTGAATTGAGCTAAAATGTTATTTTTTTAAAATTCCCCAATGTATGTGTGTCTAGTGATGTTGGAAAATACATGCTTCCAATTAAAAAAAACCTATGGCATTCTGAAGTAATAACAAACAGAGAATGAGGTCTGACTGCTTAAGCAGTGTAAGCTGTATATTTATTTAAAACATTTCTGTGCTGCCCCCATCGCAACAAAGCCTCGGGGCAGCTCACAACATAATTAAAACATAAATAACAGTTAGTAGAATTAATTAAAAAGCTTTGTTTCTTAGTTTGGATGTTACCCTGCTGCAAACGCACCAATAATGTTTTGTGGTCTTATTTGTAAGCACACACATACCTACCCCACATTAAGTTACATTTACTCTGAGAATGCTGAAGATTCATAAAAACTATACAAAAAATTAAAATGTCTTTAAATTCAGATGCAATGCAAAAATGAAAAGTGATACTTTTTTTCTATAGACAATTCATTAACCACTTGTACTAGCATGGAATTATCCTGTCAGTTATAGGACTTAAGAGTCATTAAAGGGACTTAAAAATGCAAAATATTTGAAGAAGGTTAACCACCTTACCATCTTAATTTTGCACCTGCAGTTTGGTAAGGTAACCTATTAGATTTCAGGAGCAAATTGACATTTTGCATAGATTTTAACAGTTTTAAAACTTCTTTTTTAGCCTAAGCCATAAAAAGTTTTATAGGTAATAAACAAAACATTGACTTGCAGTCAGAAATGAACAGGCAACCAAAGCTACTTGCCCAATATTGAGGTCATATGGTAACAGCACTTGGCCCCTATAAGCATTGTAGTAGAACATTTTGTATAGCTGAAGCTTCTGAATAATTTTAAAGGGCAACCCCATGTGAAATACACTAAAACCAGTATGGTGTAGTGATTAAGAGCCTGAGTCTTGGACTCAGGCAGTCTGGGTTCTGATGCCTGCTCAATCATGGAGCCAAGAGAGTGACTTTGGGCCAGTCACAGACTCTTAGCCCAGCCTACCTCACAGGGTTGTAGTAGTAGAGATAAGATTGAGAGCATGAGGAGAATGATGTAAAGTGCTCTGAGTTTTTAAAAAAGAAAGAAAAAGGAGGGATATAAATCTAATAAATAAAACAGCCCAGTCATGTTATAAGTGATGGCCATGGACAGGTTTGACTGCACTAAGGGACTTGGAGGTTGGGAGCAATATTTCATGTTCATATCTACATTGCAAGGAATTCTTCTGTCAAGCCTCTTCCATTAATGCAGTGTGGTTGGCAGGAAACAGTAGAACTCCTATGGGAATTTGTGGGACAAGTACATTTTTGGTCATGATGTCAAATTCAGTTGGGTACCAGATGGTGGTAATTGAGTTGAATGGATGTTGATTTTCCCCATCCCTGTGTCCTTTGGAATAAGTAAACATGAAAGCATTGGTTCATTTGGGAGAGAAAATGTGATGCCTCCCTAAGTTTAACATAAGATGGTAGGGCTAACATGGCATGCTTATAGCTGATTTGAAGGTTAAATTCCTACTAAACTCTTTTTTGTGCTGATAGGATTTTGTGTGCCTCATTGCTGCTCCTTCCTTTTATACTGGAATGAGCACATGTTCAAATGGTGCAGAACCAACAAAATCTGAAAAAAGTATTCCCTGTCCCCCTCAGCAGAGATAAGATGAAGCAGATCTGTTAGCTACCACTTTTTCTAGCTTCTGTCAGTCCTTTCCTGTCACCTGTCCTCATTCCCTAGTAACTGTTCCCATCGACTGTTTTATCCATATGACTGCAGTGCATCCTAAATGTTCTTTCTGAGGGTTTTAATTTAGTAGAGCAGAAAGTATTATCAAGATAGCATGAGATACAGTGGTAAGTAGGGTTTACTGAGCCTGCCCACTTGCATGCCATAGCTCTTTAAAATGACTGCTTCCAGTTTGTGCTCTCAGGCAGGAGATGTCATGACTTGTTATAGTACATCATAATAGGATATGACATCACACAGAGCATAGCATGCTAAAAAACCAGGAAAAGAGTGGTGGCAGGATATTTCAAACATCATTCATTTTATTCATTTATATCATTTTACTGCTCTCTATCAAAACTGATTCCAGGAGAGTTTACAAGGCTGAAAAAACTCAAATATATAAACAGAAAACCAACTCCTCTCCTTATTGCAGCACATGATTTTATGCATTGATGAAGATAACTTGATAAAATGTTAAGATAAAGACAGATTCATGAAGCTACAAGTCATTAGTTTAATCTTTTTTAATCTTTAGTCTTTTAAACGTGTGAAAATTGTCTTGAAGATCTCTGTATGAAAGAGGAATGTCCAAAAAAAGTGCTATGGAGGAGGAGAAGGTAGTGTGTTTGGTTTGGTCCCGGGTTCAGATCTTTTCTGAGCCATAAAGTGCCCCTTGGAGTTTTGTGCAAGTCACTACTTCTGTTACCACCCTATCTCATAGGCTTTCTGGGGGAGGAGTGGAATAAAGAAATTAAAAAAATAATGAAGGATGACCAACCTCTGTATTCTTTGGGCCATTTCTTTTCTTCCTTACATGTGTGCAGTCTCATTTGTAGGCAAGATGTCATTATTTCCCAAATCTGGGATTTCCAATAAAGGAACATATTAATGCATATACTTATAGCATGCTTGTTGTATTAAGAGAACGCCAAACGAGATAAATGATATTAAAATGTGGAGAATCTATAGATTTTGTAATTTAAAACATTTTTATGGGAGCCCACTTTTGCTAGCTGGCCAGACAGCCCAATGTAGGATGGGAGGATGAGAACCTAGAGATTACTTCTGCCACTCCTCCTGCTCTGCACCAGCTCACCATAAACCTCCATGCTCAGGGCTAACGGGTATCCCAGTAGTCTGCACCCTTAAACTGTTTGTATATAGAATATTCATATAAAACAATGTAAAGCTAAGGAATTGGCTTACACCAGATGGGCAATTCAGTAAAGAAGGTTGCCTCTGTTACATGCCTCTTTATAACAGCAGAACTTGGGAAGAAGAACAATAATTGAATGTATTGGAATATGTTTTTCAGCCTCTATGTCAGAACAATGATTCCACCAGGAGAATGCTTGTATGCTGGGAGAAAAAGGCGAAAACCTGTTCAAAAACAGTTAAGTATTTATCATTATTTTATTCTGTTAATTATTCATACCATATATTCTCACAGCAACCTTTGACATAAATTCCCCCCCCACCTCCCCACTTCTTCCAACGAATTGAACCATATGTTTTCCTTTCCCCCCCATTTTCTTACTTTATCCCTATAACATCCTTGCTAGGTTATGTTAGAATGAGAAATAGAGAATTGCTGGAGGTTACCCATAATTTTAATGGCTGGTATAGGATTTGACACATTAAACTTCTCCTTAGTTGAAGTTTAACAGTATACAATGATCTGCGTTAGGACAGTATACAGAGGGGTGCAAAAGTAGGTATAAGTTTTTACTATGAAAAAACAATAGCTTTATTAAGTCGCAATAAGGATAACATGCAAAGTGCAATTAAGTACAATCTCTTGAGTGCTCAAATTGCTGGCCTTCAGCATTTACACATTCCTGTAGTCTAGTTTCTACACTCAAGCACACTTTGGCACAGGTTGAGGAACTCTGTATAACTCTCATAACTGTTTGCCTGCTTTTGCACTCCCCTGTATATTGTAAGCCAAATATGTCCCCCATTGACTGGGACAGCACTCTCCCACCTAGATAATCTGTATCTTTTTGTGGGCTGCATACTACATTTAAAACATCTATTACATAGAATCCTAACTGCGCCTTCTTTAAACATAGTGTTAAAAGAGATTCATTCTGTTATTAATCATTCAATCATTCTTTAAATGCAGGAACATCTGGGAATTGTAGTTCCCTGAGAGGAACTAGAGATTTATGGCAGAATTTTTGGCTGCTCAACACATTTCATCTCCAAATATCACACCTTTGGTCAGCACTGTGCAAGTTAAACTGGTATAAAATCAGGATATCTTTGGCTTCATTTAATAGAAGTATCCCCCCCACCCCCCGCTTAGCCTTTGAAATAAGGCTTAGGGTTTAGCCCTGTGCATGCTTAGAAGGAAAAAGTCCTACAACTCTCAGCATTCTCCAGCAAAGCCATGTTTAAGCAAGTACCCAGTAACAGTTTGGTGATAGGAAATACATATTTTTGCACATACTTATTTTTATTCTCCACTTGTCACTAAACTAAATTCTATGTATACTAATACTTTAAGCAGAGAGGTACCTTGATGTAAGATGGCTCATGTCTCTGAGAGAAAACATAAGAAGAGTGATATTCCAAGTAATTTTCATCAGGTGTGTTAAATAGAAGAACCCAGAGTTTAACCAAGCCTTTTCGAGTCTCTGGTAGAACCTTTACCACACTCCACTTAAATTGCTGAAGGAACACATCATTAAAACATCATATATACTTTTTTCCTTTATTTAATTACTTTAGGGTGCAATCCTGTGTATGCTTAGATAGGAAAAATGACCTAGCTGATCTTACTGGAAGTGTAGGGACATTTTTCTGTCTAAACATGACACCTTTAATTACTTTCATTTTTAAATTGCAGGGTTTCTGTTGAGGTCTAGCTAGAGAGGGAAAAGTTAAGTAACCCTTGTCCATGCACTGCAGTCTTGGTAAAAACCATATAATGTATAGTTTCTCCATTGGCAATGGCTGATAGTGACCCAGTTTGCATGATCAATGGCTACTAATACCATCATCACAAATTTTTAATTCTAACCCTTTGGTTGTAAATATGATGTACTGCAAATCCTATGCTCCTGCTCTATGCTGATGTTCTGTACTCCATTCTCTTATACTCTCTACACCTTTCATTTAATCAGAATTGGTGACTTTTTTGTGAAGCGCCTCTGGGCTTTCACTACAGGGGGAAGGGTTTCCTTATTTACATACTATACGAGATTAATTTTGTAAATATTATAAAGCACAGCCAATGTTTAATTTGGTCTCTGTAATGCCAGAAAACAGGTTCTTCTTACAAATCCCAATTGCTTCTTCTGACACAGCTGAAATCTTATTTGCACTATCTTCATCCTTATCTCATAGTAGTACAATTCTGCTGAGCTGAAGTATGGTAAACAGAAAATGTCATAGATATTCTCCTTTGAAAGTAGATAATGAAAACTACGTTTGCCTATATGAATTCATGAAGTTGGGCCTTGGTAACCTCTTTTCTTCACGAACAGGAGGCTCCTGCTTGGGAATGGAAAGTCTAATCCTTCAAAGAGACACAGAGACCGCTTGAATGCCGAACTAGATCACCTGGCCAGCCTCCTGCCTTTCCCACCAGATATAATATCTAAACTGGACAAACTCTCTGTTTTGCGTCTCAGTGTCAGTTACCTTAGAGTCAAAAGCTTCTTTGAAGGTAAACTTTCCAGTATTTGTTTAAATGTTGAAGTCTAAGGGATTGGTCATCAAACTAAGAAGTGCTTTCAGTCCGTTATTTTGCTTTCTCTAGTGATAACTGCATAACTTTTAATTTGTAACCTTGTCTGTCATATTTAAAGGCAATCATAAGATGACTGCAAGACTCCATTAGAACAGGTCCTTTAAATTGAAGTGATTGGGAAAACATGGAGAGGAAGCTAAGTTTATAAGCTTAGGACCTTATGAGCTTGCCTTTTCTCAGCAGTCTCCTGTAATAATGGAAGGACTTCTTCAAAAAGTGGAATATGTGGTAGCTAAAGACAAGAAAAAAAATGCAGAGAAACAGGTATGACCAAGGGTCAAGAATGGACCCTTTGGGTCAAATTCTGCCTCTTGGAGAGGGTCTGTTAAAGATTTCTTCCAAATTTTTCCATGTATTTTCCAGCCCACAACATCTCTTAAGTTTTACATGAGCCTGTATTTAGGTACAGCTTTCAGATGCTGGGAACTGTAGTTCTACATCTGGAAGGTACTAGGTTGGGGAAAGTACTAGATTGGGGAAGGCTGCTCTACAAGTCTGTCTGGAAGAAAAAGAGTTGTGAAAGTGGTAAAAAGGCCTTGTTGCCAGGTCTTCTCCGGTGACCGGGATTTCTTCACACATTTTGCTTATTTAGGCAGCAAAATTTTGGCCTGCTTCTTTTAATAGATCCTGGGAAGCAACAAAACCCTTTCTTACTCTTCCAGAGCTTGACCATGCCACTGTCAATGATATTTTACTAATTCGAAAGTAGCATAGTGGAGAGAGTATTACCAGGTTGGTTCCCCTGACTGGCTGGGAGCCCCTTTTCACTGACAATGGTCATGGCTTCTTCCCCTTTTTGTGTTCAGAGTTTGCTTTTTGTGATCTCTTAAGTTCACAGCCTGTGACAGCTCCTCTAGAGTGCCCAAGCAGCAGATTGGAGGGGCTGTCACTGGTCTGCCTGATTTTTTTAACACCCTCAATATGTATGCATGTTTTTTGTAATCTTTTAAAAACATAGTTGGACTTGTACAAGTGTTTGAAGTGCATACGTGTATGGGCCTGAAATAGGAAGCCTTACTGGGCAATATCCTGGATGGTGCCTGCTCTCAAAATGCAGTAGGTATCAACCATGGACATTGATATAAGGAGGCAGCAAATAGGCTTATTTTTTAGCTTGTTTTCCCTTGATAGTTGACAAAAGGCAAGCTGTCAAGGGAAAGCACAGCTGCAAGTGATCTTTGCTTATGAAAGGGGGTGGCCAGTAGATCTTGGAATGAACCTCTTGGGCTGTTCCCAAGGCTCTTTGTACCAGGGAAGGTAGAAAAAATTGAGCCATCCCTTTTATGGAAGCATAAAACTGGTATACAGCCAGTTTTAGAAAGGAATTCAGGGCATCCAGGAAATTACAGGCTGGTTATCCTAACATTTTTTCCAGGTAAATGGGGGGAAGGCAGTGTTAAAGATAAATAACAATCATTTTTAGCAAGGACAGGTCTTGCTGAAGAAGCATCAATATGGTTTCTGCAAAGGTATGTGCAGCCATGCTCACTATTTAAGAGAATATCAATGAGCAGTGTGATATTGCAGACAATTTCTTGGATTCTCAAGAGACATTTGGGAAAATCCCTCATCAAAGACCCCTGAGCCTCCTTAGCTGTCATAGAAATAGGATAAGAGGAGAGGTCCATTTACAGATCAAGAACTGGCTAAAGAACAGAAAGCAAAGTATAGGGACTGAATGATCAGTTCTCACAATGGAGGACCCCCAAGATCTGTAGGGACCAGTATTTTTTAACTTCACCCTAAATGATCTGAAGGAGGAAGTGAGCAGTGAGATAGCCAGGTTTGCTGATGACACCCAATGATTTGGGGTGCCTAAGGGAAAAGATAGTGAAGGGCTCCAAAAGGATGTCATCACATTGGGAATTAAAATGATATTTGTGGTTCAGTGAAGGCAAGTGTAAAGTGATGCATCTCATGTGTGCTGATGTGGAAAGTTCCATGAAAATGTTGATCTAGTTTGCAGCTGCTATGAAAAATGCGCATACTGAGGGGAAAAAATGAAAATCAAGCTGCCTAGGAAAAGGGAACAAAATGCACAGTTACAAGATGAGAGATCCTTGGCTCAGCAATATCCTAAGCAGGAAGGATTTTGGAATTGTTGTGGATCACAAGTTGAATATAAGCCAACAGTACTGTGTAGCTGCAAAAAAAGAAAAAAAAGAAAAAAGAGGAAAAGGCTAAATTGAGCTGCTTTAGAAATACATCTTCCAAATGACAGGAGGTACTAGTTCCCCTCTAATTGGCAGTAATTAGGCCCCATGTTGAGTCTTGTGTCCAGTTCTGGGTACCACACTTCAAAAAAGATGCAGACAAACTGGAAAAAGTTCAGAGGAGGGCAACAAAAGATGATCAGGGCACTGAAAAAAGCCCTATGAAGAGAGATGGAAAGAACTGGGCATGTTTTAGCCTTGAGAAAGCTGAGGGTAGATATGTAGCAGTCTTCAAGTACTAGAAAGGTTGTCACAAAGGGAAATACCAGGATTTCTTCTTGAACATCTCAGAATGCAGGACATGGAATAATGGGCCCAAGTCACAGGAAGCCAGATTCCAGTTAGATATCAGAAAAAAAAATCTTGACTGTTAGAACAGTATAACAATAGAAGAAATGACCTAGTGGGGTTGTGGGCTCTCCCACACTAGAAACATTCAAGATGCAACTGGGCAGCCATCTGAGAGGGATAGTTAACCTCAGTGTCCTGCACTGAGCAGGGGTTGGACCCAATGGCCCTCTGGTCCCTTCCAATACTGTTCTATGATTCTATGAAAAAGTGTGCAGTAAAGGAAAAGAACATTGAAAGAGCTGAAGCAACTACCATGTAAGCCAAGGTTGTGCTTGAGACTTTTTAGATTAGAAAAAGGCAAGTTAGTGGGGATATGCAGAGGCTTATGAAATTAGATATGGAATGGAGAAGAAAAAGCTGCTTACTTTCTTACAAGACTAGAACACAGGAACAACCAGTGAAGCTGAACAGTGTGAGAAACTGTTGAGCCACCCCGAGGCTTTGTTGTGATGGGGGCGGCATAGAAATGTTTTAAATAAATAAATAAACAAACAAAGATGTAGGGGAATACTCCTTCACAGATCACCTGGAAGGGATCAACACAGAGCCCCTTCCATGTGTGAGTCAGCTGTCTGTGGCAGGTTTTCTTCTCAGTCTAATAGTTTTAACTGAGCCACATGCAGATCCAGTAGCCACTGTGTTTAAAAAATCATCAATTGCCCGAGAAAACCCAGTGTTCTAATTGTAGGAGAAGTAGGAAGAGGTTGAAAGGTCACTTTGTTATGCAAGTTTTTGCCACATGTTGCTTTGTAACTGGGAAGGATAAGCTGCTGCCTCTGGTTTCTTTTCATTTTGGATTCTGCTTACAGAATGCGTACCTTGGATGGTGGAAAGCAACAGAATTTTAAAAATAACAGTTTGGATTTTCACTCCACCATATTTGTATAGTCAAAGGTAACTGCAAGAAAACAGAACAACATACGGAAGAGAAGGATGTGTGTGCGCATGAACTGCCCTTGCATGGTAGCAGCCAGCAAAAAGCCCCCTACTGCTGCCGCTCCTCCCCTTGCCTCTCTTCACCACCACCTCTCATTCCCTTCTCTTTCCTGGGAGACTGCAGTGATGAGGGGTTATTTTGCTAAGCGCCCATATGATAGGAAGGAAGGAAGGAAGGAAGGACAGGAGGAGAGCTTTCGTGCCTGCAAATCCCATTAAAATCACTATAAGAAAAGACCTGGGAACAAAGGGGGCGGGGAGGAATGGCAGGGGTACGAAAAACTTTAAAACTACACCCCTACTAGTTATAATACCCCTTGATTGAAACACACGTCTCTGCAATACATGGAAAACCACAAGCACCAGAAAAGTGGTAAAGATTGTCTGAAGAACAATGGTATATTGAGGGGGAATAGCTGTGAGTAGGGTGGTTTGAAGTGTGCATTGCTTGATGTGCCAGTGAGCCAAGCATTAAAATACCCATGAAACCCTCGGTGTAGATCAGACCAAAGTAACCTGTGGAATTTACTTGCACAGGATGCAGTGATTCCTTCCAACTGAAATGGCTTTAAAAGTGGGTTAGACAAATTAATGGAGGAAAAGAGATCAATGGGCTTTAGTTATGATGGCTATGTATTAGATCTAGCATCAGATCTAGTACACCCCTCAATTCCAATTCCTGGATAACGTGTCCAGAAGGGTGCGGTTCCTTCTGTAGTTTCCATAGGCATCCAGTTGGCCACTGTAGAAACAGAATGCTGGATAACTTAGGGTTTTGGACTGAACCAATGTGGTTCCTCTTATTTATATGTTAGGTGATCCTGTGTTAAAAACCAAGGCTATGGCTTTTGATGGCAGATCAAACAGACTCTTGAAGTCTTCAGTGCTGTAATGAGCTTCATCTGAGTTTTAGCCATTTTGGCATGTGGTGTAATCTAAATCAAATGTGTGTGCATCTATGTACATGATGCATCTTGCAAATTTAGCTGCATATTAGATTATTTTGTTAACAAAATGTTTGGTACTTCACCATCTGAAAATATTTGCAGTAGAAGCTGTAAAATGCCAGGGATGATGTTTGCATAGAAACGTTAGATGTCAGACACAAGTAATTAAAATAATATGCGCAGCACTGCTGTGCACAGTATCATGTCCTGCTGCTTACAGAATGATGTCAGTTATGCATAACTGGCATGAACAATTAGTAGAAGCTCAATTGACTCTTTATAAACTGATCCAAGCTCGTTATTCCTCAACATTTGCAACCAATACTGCCCTTCCTTTCAGTGTTAGTTCTTTCCCCATGCAGTTTAATTTTTTAAAAAGGTTCTGTCCTGGCAGGTATCTTTCCAGCATTTTTGTTAACAGCCATATATCCCTGTTCTGATTAAAACCACAATCAGGATAGACAGAATT